CATACGTACATTAGTTTGAGTTGCCATACCACATTAGTACAGAGACACAATTTTCCATTCAAATTCCATAGTGGTAGAGGTAGTAAAATTATAAGCAGTATTCGGACAGATTAGGGTTTGAAGATGTTGTTCAAGGAGTATAATCCAGTTAAATAAATTGAGAAAGCGAAAAAAGGGACATGAAGAATTCAGAAGATTAGAATTCGGAAGAACAAAAGAGTGGATGCAACTGAGCTATTGCAAACGATTCATTCAAGGTCTCTAACCATCGGCTGCTATCGTCTCACAGATCCCAACCAGGTAGTCTACACCTACCAACATGGCTCAGTTCACTTGTCTGTGACATCATAGATTTGTGCCATGTTTTGGTCTGGCCGCCCCTAGATTTCTTTCAATCTTCTCCTACTCTGTAATTTATTGATTACAAACAACTTCTTTATATTTAAGTTATGTGATTATATGATTTTTCATATCGATTATTTTCATCTAGTTTTCTGTGTTCTTATTGAGAAAAACAATCTCACTTGTTTCTTTAGGTCATATATTTTAAAAAAATGACAGTCTATCATTTAACTCGTAAGTACTTAATTCTATTACAAATTTATAACGTACAATTATTTACAATATCACATAACCTTTTGTACTATTTCACATAAATGTGGGCTGATATTCTTTAGCTACTTAACAAGTCTATATAATTTCTTTTTTTCTTTAATTTTATAGCTGTTGATAGATTTGAGACTAACAAATTATCAGCAAATACTCCTTGAATTCTCAGGTCTGTGAGCCGAATAACTAACATAGGAGCAAATAGTGATACTGTAATTATATTATAAGTTACTAAGTTTTCTTTATGTACCTAGAAAACTGATTTTAGGTTATAAGATTTTGTAGAATCTGATATTCGAATCAGAAGGGGTTTTGTGGAGATTGTAGTAATTTCAATAGTTCAGATCATGAATCGATTGAAACTAGATCACCATGGAACACCTGGAAGCGCTGGACTGCCGTTTCGTCCCATCGTGGGACTCCACAACATTAAGCATCTACGACCCGGCCCCGCGGGATTCAAACCCAGGACCTGTCAGTCTCGCGCGCGATCGCTCAACCACAAACCTTTGGGCTGACCGGCATCCAACGGTGCCAATGTCTAATTTGATGGTCTAGCTTCAAATGACTCATGGTCTCAAACATTAAAATTACTATAATATCCACAAGATCACTTCTGATATGAATCACAGAATATCCAAAATTTTGATAAGAAGAATATATTTACTTTGTTTCAATCCCAACTCTGAATTAATTATATTCAAAATCCCTGCTAAATTAGCCAACTTATAATATATTTTATTTAAAATACTTATAGCACTATGTCTTGTGGTTGTCGAAATAACGCCTTAAATATACTCAAATATATGTAACTATTGTTTATTAGATTACCGATGGACGTTATAACAAAATATATGACTCAAAGATTAAACTGTATAGAAACACTGGTTAAGAAAGCAGAAAAATAAAGCATATCTCCGTTTATATGGAGTGTTGATAAGCAGCCACTAATGATTACTCTTTACAAACTGACCGAGCACAAAACTACATCCACAAAATTCTTTTTTTCAAATTAATCATCAAGTAAAAAGGTCAACGGAGAGAACCAATAGACGTATATTTCAACTCTAATTGAAGAATATTTTTGAGGTCATAAACAGATGACTACATCTGCCAATAACAGGTTTAGCCCACAAGCTGACAAATTTGTTGCATTTAGGAACATGTAATCCAAAGAAAACGACTACTCACATAAACAAACTATACATCAAATACTGGATAAATCGCAATAATTGCTAGAAATATCACATAGGATAAGGTACTCCACCACTCCATCTACATGAACATCAGAGAGCTTTTAAACACCACGGTGTACCTTCACGTACGGTGATCCATGTGAACTATGAACATGATTTTGACTGTAGAAATGTTAATATATTGAACAGAAAATACATAAACACAAGTAAGGATTTCTTATTAGCATTGCACTCTAATCACCTATCAATCAGTAGACGTATTAAAAGTGACTCTATCCATGAGCCAGTAAGATAAGGAATTAACATCTGCAAATTCATGGTTTAGATCAGATGAGGTGACCATCAAAACAAACTATATAAACAGGAGCTGTACTATTATGGAGAATAATAAATCGAAATCCAGGTAAACAAAACAAGACGTTCGTTGGTTGTAGATTGATCCTTTCAACTGATTTTTATTTAAAGGTATTTCTGATAGTGTTTAGCATACAGACAACGATGATTCAAAAAACGTCGCATCTCCATAGTCGATACCCATTAACAGTTATCCATAATTTACTTGTATCTGTTGTTATTCAAGATGTAATTGATGTTATGTTCATAGTTTGCGTTATGGTAACAAAATAGTTTAACACTACTGAAAAAGCTTTAATTTGATTGGGAACATTTTGTCTTTAAGAGAAAACGAGCACTTTATACAGGCTTGTCTGTATTCATTTCACAAATTGACTTCAACCTGACCAGTTTTATCTATATCTACTCTGCTTCATAAATTCACCCAATCAATAAAAACTCTTCTCCTTGGCAAACGATAACTAATTAGCTTAAATAATGTTAAAACAATATGTAAAAGCTTTATTTTTTGTGAATAAATTATCATGAAATATATTATAATTGATCTATTCAAAGAAACTATTCTTCACAAAAAGTTGATTTAATTATCAGTAGTTTGAAAATATTGGATCTGAAAACATTTCACAGAGAAGCAAAATTCATTTATAAACTATGACAAACAAATTCCACGGATCAGTTGTTTCTGAGCTATAAATAGATTATCAATCAATTTTGGAAGTCCAGTTTTCATCACGGATTAAAATAGGTTTATGACAACGACTTTCACTCCGTTTTATGATATAGGATACATAATAAAGTTGTATCATCAACTATACGTCTATGTCATGTTCCAAGCTGTCCATATAGGTGAAATGAAACTAAGCTAGAATCAGGCTATCTACGCTTGAAGACAAACAAAAGTATTACGTGACATAATAAAGTGAAGAGGGTAAAACGTAAAATAACTCTACTGGAAAAACTAGTAGCTCAGCTATGATAAGTGCAATAATCGAAGCCTATCAGCCATAAGTGGATTTTTAAAACTGTAATGCATGTAAATTTGGAAAATGTTTACAATAACAAGATGTGTAAACAGAAAAGGTTTTAAGAAAAAGGTTGCATAAAAAATGATTCTCACTAAAACTTAAGATTACTGAGATGATTTGATTGCAAAGCATTTTCAATGAAAAGATTAAAGATATTAGCTCGACCTACCAATTTTTCACCGGTTTGAAGATAAATTCAACGTTTTACACGAGAATATGATTGTCACTTATTTTGATAACACAGAAATCATCTGTTCTGTCTAATCAATATGATCTTTGCAAGATGTATTCACTGAGTATCACAAGACACATGAACAAAATAAAGAATATGTATAGTTGTGGAAATCTTCTTCCAACAAAGTGTCTTTCATAAACAACGTATCCATATGCTAATTAAACTCCTACTATTAACAACTTTTGAGATAAGATTGTAGTTAAACATTTTGAGTTTATCTAACCAAGCTGGGAAAGAATTTAATATGGTAACGTCTCTGACTGTGAAGCTGGGTGAAACGGCATCGAACCCATTAGGGAGCATCAGTCCTTTCAAGATTACAGGTACACCTTGCTGACGAGTGCCAAATAGCACGAAACCTAGATCCAGTGTTTCCTGTTGACTACTTCCAACCACCATCTTATTTCAACATAGTGCACGCAATTTCGAATCACTCAGACTGGCGACCACATTGCAACTTGGTCGGTAGGAATCGATCAGAACTAAGAAGGAGCTGACATACATAACATTGATCACCACCCAGTGATCAATCAATTGTATATACATCTCAGTCCTATGAGAATTCAATTTAATGTATCATTATGACAAGGTCCTCAAATACAACATGGAAAACAGCAATTCAATCACACTTGATGGAGAAACTCTGGAAGGTGTAGAATCCTCCACGATGAACAAGAAGGATCCGATGCAGATGTAAAGACGAGGATTGGCAAACCAAAGACCACATGCCTACAATTGAAAAACATATGGAACTCAAAACAACTGTCAACCAATATCGAAGTCACAATCTTCAATACCAACGTCAAGGCAGTTCTACTGTATGGAGCTGAAACTTGGAGAACTACTACAACCACCATCAAGAAGGTACAAATATTTATAAATAGTTGTCTAAATAGGATACTCAACATCCATTAGTCGGATACCATCATCATCAACCTACTACTGTGAGAGAGAACACACCAGCTTCCAGCTGAAGAGGAAATTATTAAAAGACGATGGAAATGGATGGGAGATACAATACGGAAATCACCACACTACATCACGAGGCAAACGCTAACTTGTAATCCTGAAGGGAAGAGGAAAGGTGGAAGGCCAAAAAGTACATTACGTCAGGAATTGTAAGCAGACATGAAAAGGATGAATAACAACTGGAAATAACTGGAAATAACAGCTGGAAATGATTTCGCAAGAGAGGGTTGTATGGAGAGTGTTGGTGGGAGGCCTCTGCTCTTCCACGAGGAATAACAGGCATAAGTAATTAAGTAATATCTTGTTCCGACAATCTAATTGTAGTGAGCTTATTTCGATAGGTATATGTTTTAACGTTTAACTGCATTTCATTAAAGGATACCACATGGAAAATGAAGCTAATATCGTAACTAAACAGGTTTAATCAATCTTGTAGCTGATTAAATATAACCTTTATATTCAACATATATTCTACACATTGATGAAATCACTAAAAGTAATATAAATTTATTCCACTAATCTATCATTTATGAACTAATAAAAACATAATGCAATTTACTATGTTTTCTTCTTTCTCTTTTCATTTCAACCCTAAATAAATAAATATCGTTATGAACAATTAAGATTTTATATTTGTTGAATGAAATTTTCATATGAACATAGATTGTTATGTAATCGAAAGATATTATGAATTAGGTGAACTAAAGAATAAGTAAAGACTAACCAGAATTCATTATTATCCAATTATAATTGTTATTCAAAAGTGAGGGGGAACGAGAGAGAAAGCAAAATAGTCAAAATAAAGTATGTAGAAAACCAGAACATCTAAAATTGTGAAGAATATTGTTTAATGAATATGTACAAGGGTACTTATTTCATCGAGTGTTACATTAAAAAATTGACTGAGAATCAAATGAAAATGAATATAAGCTATTTAATATTATTGACATTAATATCGATTTGTTTATCAGTTTTGAGTGATTGATTTCATTTCATTGATAGTACAGAAAATATGTTTTATTTGTGTGTAGAATGGAATGTTTTAGCTAAACCATATTTTACTGTTTTAGTTAAATAATCAAGAATTGATTTCCATGTAACTGCTAAATCATCCGACCATAAGCATTCTTCTTTTAAGACTGGTTCTATAGCACCCCATAATTGGTCCGAAACACTCTAAAACAAAGAAAAAAAGTGAGAAAATAATGATGAGCCAGTGATTAATAACTTCATTAGCTAGATTTCTTTTTGTGTATCTAAAATTGATGGTGATAAAACGTAGATGTCAAAAATACTGGTTAAAATCTAAACCGTTTTAAGCACTTAACCAAACTAAATACCAGTGTAATGTCAAAATTTTTTAGATACATGCAGGTATGTTACTTCTTTTTTAACAATAGACTTCTGTCGTTTTTCTGAGAAAATCAAAAAGTAGAGAAAAAGTGTAGAGTTACAACATCGAAACCCATGAGTAATATGAATTATCAACAATACCAACATAAGATCCTCAATTTTCATGGTGAATATTATACTTACTTGAAAATGATTCAGAACTACTTGTAATAAACATGAATTATTACTGAGATAGTAACAGTTTCTAAGCTTAGATGTAAATTTTATGTTATTTTGTCTATGGTAATAATAAATGATTCCATTAGTTGAAATCATGAGTCAATTGAAGCTAGACCACGATGGAAAACCTGAGAGAACTGGACTGCCGTTTCGTCCTAGTATGGGACTCCTGGGAAGTGCGCATCCATGACTCCGCCCCCCGCAAGATTCGAACACATGACCGATCAGTCTCGCGCGCGAGCGCCTAACTATTGGACCACTGAGCTGGCCAGCATCCAACGATGTTGATGTCTACCTTCAACCAATGATTCATATAATTTATAAAACTTTATTATACATTTGATTGGTTAGAAATTCGTTGTTATATATCGCTTACAAGCACATTTTGTACATACAGACAATCATGATATTGCTATGCATTCTTTCAAGCACCAAAATTATAAAAAGACTAGACTGAAGTATTTTTTCTTTAGTAGTTATAGAATTGATAATCAGATTACCAATTCCCTTTAGACTTCATTGGTTTACTTAATGGTTATTATAACAATAGTAATTTCAATCAGATACTGAAGCAATGAGTATCTAATCGTTAAATGTTCATTAAAAATTAAACTTTTGTCTTATTTATTAATGATTAATTTATTAAAAAACAATGATTTAGGACAAAAGTTAAATTCAACAAATGAATAGGTATGGATAAAATCTAATCAAAAATTTCATTTAACAATAGAATAACAGTAAGTGTTCTCAAATTCACTTGATATTGTTTACTTAAATCTTCCCGTTGATGTTTAGAACTGCAACTCATTAGTCTCATATTGGCATATGTACATACTGTGCGTATGGCGTTGATATTGACTTAATTCACAAGCACTATATGCAAAGATTAGTAGTGGCTAGCAGTGGAATCCAGGACACCCGTTTCGTCTTATTTGGGACTCTTGCGTTGGGTGTACCTGCATCCCAGAGTTGATGTTCATTCTGAACTCGAACATAGTACCGTTCGCTTCAAACGCTACCGCGTTATCGACTTTGCTACTGAGTCCTGATAGCCACTTGCTTATGCAATGGGATGTTCTCTCTTACTTTTGTTTAAACGTGATGAAATGTTGAGCTTAATATTTCAAATTTCTATGTACGGATTTATATTTTATGATTTGTGTGAATATTCAGTAGAATATCCATTGAATTCATTGTTTCATATATGACTGACTAAATTTGTTTTTCAGTAAATAACCAAATAAACTCAGCCATACATGTAGCAATTCAGTTTACACCGCGTACTGATTAGAAAACCATTAAAAACCAAAGAGCAATGGCTAGTTGTTTCTTCCTATAACAAGACAAATAGGCGCTGTTAATCTACAGAATCAGTACAGATCTAGCTGAGAACCTTCAGTCTTGCTGCGACTCTTAACCCCTTATATACCGAGCTGGTTTCCAAAAGTTATATTCTCACCTGTAATTCATTCACGAAATTGTCAAACTATATTCTATTGGCTGTTGTAAATAACTGTCACACACCTGACGAAGGTGAACTCTACTAATCACTGTTTCTAATACGAAATGCTGAAATTTGATCCCGAAATTAGCTAGAAGTGAATAGAATGTATGTATTACTATAAGTGATTTCTGAAAATTGTTAGAATACATGATTAGTGATAGCTAGAATTATACGATTCATCTACAAACAAATTCTATTCGAATGTTCAACTATTGATATAGGCTGTTTTTAATTTTTCCGCTGTGATGAAGCAACGTTACTATAAATCCGCAACAAAACAATGTAAATGAAAAGCATTGCTATCTTTGTTTTCAAAATAAGTGGGGGAAAAATGTCAACTTACAGATACCAATGCAATTGTTGGAACGTATCGACAATGTTTTGATCCAATCATCATTAATTGTCTTTCAATATCATCAGTTTTAGGTAATCGAGTAATTAGTTTATCTACTACGCTTAATACGCGTAAACCATGAACTTGCATTGCTGGATCATGTTTTACATCAACGAATTTTCTCTTTCGAAATTCAGTGAATGCATCACGAAAGTCTGAATGTTGTTCAAATATGCTGAGTATAAAAAAGACAAATGCAAAACACTAATGAATCCTTCAGTTAAATTCTTGATGTAAAATTCAAAAAAAACAACCAAGAATAAAACACTTCTGAATATTTGATAACTATTTATTGTCTACGTTTTTTAGTGAAGCTAGATCTGATAGAACTTGATATAAAATACAATTATTTACAATCATTTCAATATAAAATTGAATGTCTATGAACCCTTAATCTTTAATAGTGAGTAGTAAATATCAAGATACTTTGGTACGAGAATGCTGGTCGGCGGCCTATGCTCCGTTGGGAGTCACAGGTATGAGTAATTAAGTAAGTAAATAAGTATCAGAACAAACAACATCACTTCAGTTGTTTTGTATATTCGTTTATATTATCAAAGATTGAAATCACTGTGTTGATTTTAACTACTCTTTTTGTTTCAAAAATTTACTAAAGACAATAGAACTAGAATAATGATTCAATGAACTGATTACATAACTATAAAGACAATGTGATCTTCATGAAAATTGATTCTGAATTGTGATCGTTTCCGGTGAATCAAAAAAAGTTTATTGATGTTGTTATTCATAGTTATCATAGCTGTTCAACAAAATTGATGCGTTTTTTCATAATGCAAACTAATTCATCTATTCGCAATCTGTTATATGGCTTGAAGGAATTAGAGTGATTATTTGACCATTTTCTTTGGAATTCATGTTTTTTTTGTCAAAAAAACTAAAAGCTGATTAAGTTCTGACTTTTGTATAGTTGCTTTCAAACATCTATGAATGAAAAACATAATAAAATTGGTATTTAAAATAAGTTTCACCATTATACAACTGTGGTGTGTGCTACTTATATCGACATAAGTAATATAGTACGCTAGTCAGCAATGGAATGTCTCACAGCAGAAAGTCAAAATTATTGAGAAGAAACGAACGGAAATAGAAAGCAATTAGCATGGAAATTCAGGAACAATGGAGTGTGAGACGACTGACTGATATTTACAAAAGGCACAGTCAAGTTTGAGACAAATGATTGACATTTTGCAAGTTAAATAATCACAACCGTTCATTTAGTTAGCTGGTCTTCAGAATTTCACAGTGATTCGCTTAATATTGGTATTCATAATTCCATGTTCATAGTCCATATTTTGAAGTCATAGCTCAAGATAAATTAAAATAGGAACTTTATAGAGTTTATTAGAATTAAAGGCTTTTTATAGTAAAACTGAAGTGAACATAAACATGAGTGGGGACAATGAAATTTGTTTGAACAAAAAATTACAGTACATCTCACTAAAATCTGAGAACCATACAATGAACACTTAATTTGCAAAATATCAATCAAATGTCTCAAACTCGACTGTTCATTTTGCCAATATCAGTCTATCACTCCATTGTTCTTACATTTGCATGCCAATTGCTTTCCGACCCCGTTCTTTCCTTCTCGACCTGCTACTGAAATACATTCTATTGCTAACTATCGTTGTATACTACTTATGTGGATATAAGTAGCTCACACCACAAAAATTTTCGTCAATCGTATGTCTTGATATCAAATGATATCATATACATTTGGTTCGTTTTTACAAGTGAGTTTTAAAAAATATATTCGGTTTGTAAAATCTTTGATTTACTCATTCAGTCGAAATATATGTTTACAAAAATGCCTGTTGTTAATTTATTGTGATCTAGTGGTCCAGAGGTTAATTGTTCGCGTACGAGACCGATAGATTCTGGGTCCGAATGTCGCGAGGCGGGATCGTGGATGCATACTATTGAGAAGTCTCACAATAGGACGAAACGGCCGTTCAGTGCTTCCAAGTTAACATTGTCAATGCAGAAATAATTAGATCCATAGTTAGAAAAAGCAAATCATCAAGTAAAACTGAAAATCCAGCTGTAAACTATCTCATTAATCAAAATGAATGAAGTGTGTATGATAAAAGCATTTTACTGAAATTCCATCATAGACTATTTCAATAAAATGATAACTTAAATAAAACTAACATAGTTTACTCACGCAAAAATCAAACGAATAATGTAAAGTTTTACTTTTCATTGTCATTCAAAAAAAAGGGAAAAAAAGAAAAACAGAAAGAGAAAAAAAGAAAAACAGCTTAACTTTGTAATGGTTTGTAACATTTTTATAGATGTAATCCATTCACGTATAGTTTCAACAAAATTTTTATCGTTTTAATTAATAGAACAATCCTAATTAATCACTTATTTATTTAGAATGTTTTATATAATACATTTATCTCTGAGTGATCTTTGAAGAAAAATGTTAGAACTTGTTGGAGAAAATAGAAAAAAAACCTACGTATTGAAGTGCTGGAATTACATACTATTTAGCTTATAAATAATTAGAAAGTTTCTATGACACCTATCGTTTATCATTAGTAGATTATTCATGAGTGATTGTTTTTCATTATGTTATTCTACTGTAATTTTATCAATGTAATTTATGATATTGACTGTGAAAAAACTTATGTGTTTTCTTTTTTTTTTGATGAGACTATAATTGATGGACGCTAAAGTGACCTGGAGAGTATTCACCTAATAACTAGAACTAAATGAGAGTTATAAACCAATGTGAGGAATCAGAATTACAATTTATAGTTGATGGTTAAGGTTAGGAATTAGATACAGGGTTTTCATCACGAACTGACATCAGCTATAATGCCAAAACTCCATTTATCCCAATGGATAAGTGAATTTCACACTAAATCCCAGACCTATTATCAGATGGTGGAGAAGATTTGTAGCTCAGGTAGATGATTTGGTGGAGTTTTGTTCTCTGGGCTCATTTTTGGATTTATAATTCTAAATAACAATCGGAAAATACGAGTAAAAAACAACTCCAAGTGAATTTAAACTTCACCACATTGCACATGCAAGTGGCTGTCATGAAACAGTAGCTAAGTGGATAACTCAATGGTGTTTGAAGCCAACGGTACCAGGTCCAAGTCCTGGAGTGAACATCACCTGTGGGTGCAGGTAAATCCATCTGACGAGTCCCAAATAGGACGAAACGAGTGTCCTGAATTCCACTGCTAGCCACTATTTATCTTTGCATATAATGGTTGTGAGTTAAGGCTATATCGATGCAATCGCTTAGGATGCACATATGAAAACAAAAGACTGTTCAATTGCAGTGCTAAATAGCGATGGCAAGATATAAGTAAGACAACACCACGTGATATTTAAATTAATTTTTAAGAAAACGATCGATTTATTTTGATACATTCGTCTTTCATCGTTTATGAAAAATTTGTCTTTTCATTAGTTGAGGTCATGAGTCAATTGAAGCTGTATCACTATGGAAAAGCTGGAAGAACTGGACGGTCAGTTCGTCCTAATGTGAGACTCTTCAGCAGTGCGCTTCCACGATCCCGCCTCACAAGATTCGTATCCAGGACCTTTCCGTCTCTCATGTGATGTTTAAAAAAACAAACTTAATGTCTGTCATTTTCACCTCATATAAAGTTATATAAGCTTTTTGTTCGAAAGCTAAATAGACTTATAATGTATTTTCTTTACTGTCACACATTTGACCTTTTAAATATTGTGATATGGTTTGTTTATATTTTGTTCAAATTCACAATTTTTTTCTCTCAGTTAAGCAAATAATATTAAATAAATCAACGGGAAATATATGATTGTTATATCCCCTAAACCTTTTGAATATCTATTAACAAACATTTCGAATTCAAATCCGTAGAAAGAACTGTTATGGTCAAGGTAATAATTTTTTATTATTTATTTATTATTATTTATTTGAACACATAGATATTGGTACCAATGGGAGTCGAATACATATGCGCTACACAAATCTCATTTGATTTGTGGGAGGGCTATTATACTGCCCGGGTGCCCAAACCGAAACAGGTGGTTTACTTAGGAGGCCACACCCGTAGCCTACGATATAAAAGTCTAATCCACAAGGTATTGGAGCAACGTCAGGAGATGCAGTCACATAGTAGCTGTTGACAAATAATTGGTTCATGCGCTATTTGTTTATTCAGGATCCTTGAATACATGTGCACCATTGATTTGGAATGAGGGTTTTTCGACTCCCCTAGGTGAATCCTCCATATCTACTGACCCGGTTAAAGCACCGGATATTCGCTTTTTGTCCTCTCAATTTCGTAAACAACACCTGTGATGCGAGAAGGCAGTAAGTAGGACTTCCCTGGTAATGGTTGTATATATGTGTCCTTGTGAGAGCATTTGGAGAGGGAGAGCTGACTCTCCCAACTCTCGGTCGTGTTAGGGCATTTGGGGGGTTATCATTATTACTAGTGAATAATTAAAAAGCATCATGATAACTTGTAAAAGTATCCCAGTTCAATAAACATGCTTACGTTTTGTTCCAATGAATGATACTGATAAACACAAACAAACCAACAAAAAGTTCCAATGAATAAGCATAGACCCGATGGACAAGAAAGTGAACACACTTCGGAGGTAAGTAATTAATTCGAATCTCAATGAGAACATTAACTATGAGATACACATGAATCGACATAAATTGTCTAAAACATAATGATACACAGACCTTTAATTCCACTACTAGGTATAATCTATACACAATAAAAATTTCAATTATAATGTAATGTGAAATCATCCACTCATGATGTACATGCAGTAGTGAATATCTAAATCAAGAAAATACAAACCCATATAAATGTAAGATAAGTGTTAGATACATTAATTCTCGTATTATCTTTTTCTGTAAATCAGTAAAACATATTAAGGAGATTGGGAAGTTTATAATTTATGGACGAACCAATCACGTATAAGATAATAGGTCTCGGTGGAGTTCTGTTCTCTGAGCCCAGAGAACAAAACTCCACCAAATCATCTACCTGAGCTACAAATCTTCTCCACCATCTGATAATAGGTCTGGGATTTAGTGTGAAATTCACTTATCCATTTGGATAAATGGAGTTTTGGCATTATAGCTGATGTCAGTTCGTGATGAAAACCCTGTATCTAATTCCTAACCTT